TGGCTGTTCCCACAGTGATCTAGTCCCCAAACCCCCAACGGGATATCCTGTAGGATGGCTGTTCCCACAGTCATCTAGTCCCCAAACCCCCAACGGGATAACCTGTAGGATGGCTGTTCCCACAGTCATCTAGCCCCCAAACCCCCAACGGGATAACCTGTAGGATGGCTGTTCCCACAGTCATCTAGTCCCCAAACCCCCAACGGGATAACCTGTAGGATGGCTGTTCCCACAGTCATCTAGTCCCCAAACCCCCAACGGGATAACCTGTAGGATGGCTGTTCCCACAGTCATCTAGTCCCCAAACCCCCAACGGGATAACCTGTAGGATGGCTGTTCCCACAGTCATCTAGCCCCCAAACCCCCAACGGGATAACCTGTAGGATGGCTGTTCCCACAGTCATCTAGTCCCCAAACCCCCAACGGGATAACCTGTAGGATGGCTGTTCCCACAGTCATCTAGCCCCCAAACCCCCAACGGGATAACCTGTAGGATGGCTGTTCCCACAGTCATCTAGCCCCCAAACCCCCAACGGGATAACCTGTAGGATGGCTGTTCCCACAGTCATCTAGCCCCCCAAACCCCCAACGGGATAACCTGTAGGATGGCTGTTCCCACAGTCATCTAGCCCCCAAACCCCCAACGGGATAACCTGTAGGATGGCTGTTCCCACAGTCATCTAGCCCCCAAACCCCCAATGGGATAACCTGTAGGATGGCTGTTCCCACACTGTCATCACCCTCTATTGTCTCCCAACCAGGCAAAGAGCACTGCAGCCTAACTGACTGACTGTTATCCATAGCTAATGGCAAGCTCTACCAGCCTGTCAGCGTAATGTTGGTTAATGCCAGGTTGTGTCTGATATGGTGCCATTTCAACCAGCTGGCAGAGATCACTGGTTAGCAGTCTCTGGTGACAGTCTCAATAGTTGATTTTGCTCTGGGTGCAGAGATCACTGGTTAGCAGTCTCTCGTGACAGTCTCAATAGTTGATTTTGTTCTGGGTGCAGAGATCACTGGTTAGCAGTCTCTGGTGACAGTCTCAGTAGTTGATTTTGTTCTGGGTGCTGAGAGTACTGGTTAGTTACAATATACTGTGATAATTAGATAATTAGACCAAGATAACTGATTGAGTGATTATGTGTGAATAGAAAACAGCGACACAACAGCTTGCGTCCATTTAGTCACCACAGTTGTAATCAGCAGTGAACTTTTCTCTCTCCTTCAAACCAACAATGTAGTTTTTCCAACGGTGTTGATTGGATATTACAGAGGTCATCGGAGCTACTCGGTTTGCTAAACAAGAGGTATTTAATTTCATTCTACAATATTACATCCACCAGCTATTCTCTCCCCGGCATTGTTCCAAAATCCATATTAATAGCAAATGGGGAATAAAGCAGTGTACTGTAGTGGATATGCATTCTAAGTGGCATGCTAGTGTGGATATTGGAACATAGCCTAGGGTCTGTGCTTTGAGAATATAGAGGTTATAGCCCAGTTAGAGTTGTGGGCTTCTGGCCAATGAATACCTGGATTCAAATAGTATCTCTTTCATTTGTTCCATTGTGCTAGGAAAGCTCAATCAACTGCAGCTAAAGTAAAAAAAAAAAAATCCTATTTGAACCAGGTCTGCGAGCCCAGTTGTGGGCTGTTGTCCAAGGCCTGGAGGTAGGGTGGTGGTGTTGTGGTGGTTCGAGGGGCAGGTCAGAGGATGTACTGTGAGTTACGTGGGTCATGAGGATCGATAGAGCCCATGTGTTCAGGCCTAAGAGCCCCCGTCACTAGCCTGGCCTGAATAAATAAATGAATTGGGATCGATAGAGCGAATGTGTTCAGGCCCTGACAGCACTCACACAATCACCCATGTGACATAGACCTGATGGATACTGGCTACACTTTAGAGAGGAAGAAAATGGTTTTGTCTGCACACGAATGAATGAAAATTGAATTCAACAATAATGTTTTCAATTCGACTTTTGCTTTCAAAAGCAGCTCAAACATAGAAGAATTAACTGAATTAATTATACCGTGCTGATATACCGTGCATTATAGGGAAATAATGCACGCTCTAGAATGCCCTTCAAGCTAATCAGAAACGAGTATTCAACAATGCCATGGTATAATGCATTATAATATGCTATACTGTACGTTACTGCATTATACTATATTATACTATACTGTATACTATAGAGGTTATAGCCCAGTTAGAGTACTATCCTGTATTATACTATACTGTATTATACTGTATTAGACTATACTGTATTACACTGTACTATACTGTATTACACTATACTGTACTATACTTTATTATACTATTCTGTACTATGCTATACTATATTATACTGTATTATACTACACTGTACTATACTATATTATACTGTATTATACTATACTTTACTATACTATATTATACTGTATTATACTATACTTTACTATAATGTGTATACTGTATTATACTATACTGTACTATACTATATTAAACTGTATTATACCATTCTGTATTATACTGTACTGTATTATACTGTAATATGCTATAATGTATTGCACTATACTGTGCTGTACTATACTATATTATACTATACTGTACTATACTATGATATATTATACTAAACTGTACTGTATTATACTAAATTGTACTGTATTACACTATACTGTATTATACTATACTGTATTATACTATACTGTAATATACTGTATTATACTATACTATAATGTACTATACTATAATGTATTATACTAAGCTGTACTGTAAATTAAACTAAACTATACTATACTGCATTATATTATACTGCACTATTTTATACTATACTGTAATGTACTATACTATAATGTATTATACTAAAGTGTACTGTAAACTAAACTATACTATAGGATATTAAACTGTACTGTATTATACTACACTGTACTGTACTCTACTATAAGGTATTATAATAAACTGTACTGTAAACTAAACTATACTTTACTGTATTATATTATACTGTACTGTATTATACTATACTGTACTGCAATTCAGAGGAAAGTATTCAGACACCTTGACGTTTTCCACATTTTGTTACGTTGCAGCCTTATTCTAAAATGAATGAAATAATGTTTTTCCCTCATCAATCTACACACAATGCCCCATAATGACAAAGTGAAAACAGGTTTTTAGAAATGTTTGCAAATGTATTACAAATAAAAAACAGAAATACCTTATTTACATAAGTATTCAGACCCTTTGCTATGAGACTCGAAAATTGAGCTCAGGTGCATCCTGTTTCCATTGATCCATCCTTGAGATGTTTCTAAAACTTCATTGGAGTCCACCTGTGGTAAATTCAATTGATTGGACATGATTTGGAAAGGCACACACCTGTCTATATAAGGTCCCACAGTTGACAGTGCATGTCAGAGCAAAAACCAAGCCATGAGGTCGAAGGAATTGTCCGTAGAGCTCCGAGACAGGATTGTGTCGAGGCACAGATCTGGGGAAGGGTGCCAAATTTTTTTTGCAGCATTGAAGGTCCCCAAGAACACAGTGGCCATGAATAAAGAATGGTACCAACACATCCTCCGAGAGCAACTTCTCCCAACCATCCAAGAACAATGCCTTTTCCAGCATGATGGAGCACCTTGCCAAAAGGCAAAAGTGATAACTAAGTGGCTCGGGGAACAAAACATCAAAATGTTGGGTCCATGGCCAGGAAACTCCCCAGACCTTAATCCCATTGAGAACTTGTGGTCAATCCTCAAGAGGCGGGTGGACAAACAAAAACCCATAAATTCGGACAAACTCCAAGCATTGATTATGCAAGAATGGGCTGCCATCAGTCAGGATGTGGCCCAGAAGTTAATTGACAGCATGCCAGGGCGGATTGCAGAGGTCTTGAAAAAGAAGGGTCAACACTGCAAATATTGACTCTTTGCATAAACTTAATGTAATTGTCAAAAAAAGCTTTTGACACTTATGGAATGCTAGCAATTATACTTCAGTATACCATAGTAACATCTGACAAAAATATCTAAAAACACCGAAGCAGCAAACTTTGTGAAGACCAATACTTGTGTCATTCTCAAAACGTTTGACCACGACTGTATGGTACCCTGGTATCTTCTAGCCATCCAACAGAACACGTGCCTCCAACCATCCAGCTCAACGCACTAAATGGTGTGTGTGTCCGTGTCCGTGTGTGTGTCCGTGTGGTGTCTGTGTGTGTGTGTGTCTGTGTGTGTGTGTGTGTGTGTGTCTGTGTGTGTGTCTGTGTGTGTGTGTGTGTGTGTGTGTGTGTGTGTGTGTGTGTGTGTGTGTGTGTGTGTGTGTGTGTGTGTGTCTGTGTGTGTGTGTGTGTGTGTCTGTGTGTGTGTGTGTGTGTGTGTGTGTGTGTGTGTGTGTGTGTGTGTGTGTGTGTGTGTGTGTGTGTGTGTGTGTGTGTGTGTGTGTGTGTCTGTGTCTGTGTGTGTGTGTGTGTGTGTGTGTGTGTGTGTGTGGATCTTAATTTCATCACGCTGTTGCAGCAGAACTTTCCTGCAATGCCTGAAATGTTAAACTTCTAGGGTATTTGAAATTTTTTTATGCTTCTGAAGTTTGTAATCTCCACTTTTACATTTCAGACTTGATTTTCCCTTACGAAAAATGTATCAATCCCTACAATTATAATGAATTATAAACCACATAATAATTCACATTTCCTGTTGCTGCAGAATTGTTTTCCTTCTGTAGAAAAACTGGCTCAAATTAAAGATCCTACGTGTGTGTGTGTGTGTGTTTGTCTTGTGATGGTTTTGACTTGACTTGAGGTTATTGTCTGTTAGGGGTGCCAGGTAGGTCATGCCTACCAGAGAAATTGAGGGAATGATTCCCGTCTGGTCCATCAAGTCTATACCAATACAAAGGACTCATGAAAAAGTGAGAATGGAAAGTAAACTTTTCGTAAACCTGAGACTGTTCAGACATAATTCAGGGCTGTCACACACCCACTCCCCTGGAAAAAGTCAACCATTGCCATGGAAGGCACATCATGGTCGGGGAAACCGAGAAAACTCTTCTCCTCACTTTCCTCTTCAAAGATATGAGGACTTTGTGGTGCTCACTCTCCTCAGCTGAGGTGTAACACGCCTCATAGCGTGAGACTTCTGGGTCTGGGAATCCGAGAAAAGTCTAATCACTTTCATCTTCAAAGATATTCAGGACCTTGTGGCGCTCACTGGTGCGTCAATCGACTCTAGGGGGTTAAGGTGTGAGATATAGAAAACGCACATATATGTTCGGTAGTTCAGAAGGGCCCATCTCCTCCACCATTCTATATGGTCCTTGCCATTTAGGAGTGAGCTTGGGTCCAGAATAATTTGTCAGCTTTTGAGTACGGATGGGAGTGTAGCCACACCCAATCACTGACCTGGAACTGCATGTCTCGTCTCGTCTTATCATAGTTCCTCCTCTGCTTGAAACATGCCTTGATCAGGTACTTTGAGACAAGAGCTCTTAAGTCGTGCAGATGGTCATAGCACGCAGGGTCCTGAGTAACCGGTTGAAGCTGCAATACCAAGGGTCCTCAGAGGGCTTAGGTTCACCTCTGCAGGGGTGACTCCAGAAGACTCTCGCAAGGTTGGTCTGTGGGTGGTAGGCCGTGGTCAACTTCTGTCTCAGGTTCCATCTTTGGCAGGTCTCCTCAAAGAGATCGGAGACGAATTGGAGAGTTCAGGATCTCACGAAAGAGTCAGGATCTATTTTTGTGAGGATGTTAGAGACTGTCCTTGCTGTGGCCCGTCGAAGGGCAAAGAGCTCCACCCACTTGGAACGGTAATCGACAAAAGCAAGCATGTGCACATTCTGATTTGAACTTCTAGGAAATGAACCAATCAAATCCATTTCTAACATTTCCTAAGGTCAGGTAACCACTGTTACAAAACTGACAGTATCGGATGTGTGACTTTACATCTAGGCCAGTGCAGTGGTGCTTTCAACCGCTTGTAGGTTTTGAACCTGCTCAAATGACCAGCTAACGGGTCTTTCATGGAAATGTTGCAGCAGTTGAAGGCGTAGAGGTTCAGGTATGTACACTTGGTAGAGTGTTCTGTGAGGTAGTTGCACAACTCGGTAAACTTTGTCCTCAGTGACGGTCAGGGTTGTGGTAGAATTTACTATATTTTCTCCATCTTCCAGGATAGTCTGGTATAGCGCCTGTACTACTATGTCATCCTGTTGGGCCTTCCATATGGACTTATCAGACATGGGAAAGTTAGTCTTGGGTGAGTCTCGACTGCTAGACAGGACAGTAGCACGTGTGAGATTAATGCCACTGTTGCCATCAGCAGGAGCTCTGGATGAGGTATCTCGAACAGAATTGTACTTTCATTTTCTGTATTCTACAGCAAAGGTTAACTCTTGCAACCGTAGAGCCCAACCGATGAGTCTGGTTCTTCGTTTGTTGGTCTTGAACACCCACAGATGGGAAGAATGGTCAGTGACCACAGTGAAGTACAGTATCTTCCTTCCAGGTAGTACCTCCACCATTTCGAAAGCCCAGACAACTGCAAGGCACTCTTGCTCGGTTGTGGAATAGTTTCTTTCTCCTCCCATTTATTGAACGACTGGTGAAGGCCAGCACTTCTTCAGTGCCATGTTCAGTCCATTGGACGAGGACAGCACCAAGTCCAACATCACTTGCATCAGGTGTAAACAACAAAAAGACAGTCAAAGTTGGGATGACCCAAAATGGGAGGCGTGACAAGGTGTCGTTCCAGGGTTTCAAAAGAGGTCTGGGATTCTGCCGTCCATCGGAACTTTGCTCCTTTCCTCTTCAACGTGTGATTGGCACAGGGAAGTCTTGTACAGCCTTGGTATTTTCAGGATCCACATGGATGCTGTCAGAGGACACAATATGGCCAAGGACCTTCAGGGGGGTTTGGCAGAAGTTGCTCTTCTTCATGTTCACCGTCAGACCAGCTTCTCTTAGCTTGTCCAACACTGCTTGAAGATCTTGAAAGTGTTGTTTTCTGGTCTGTGAGTAGATAATTATATCTTCTAGGTAGACAAAACAGATGAGTCTTTGGAAGGTGGCAAGCGCGTTGGTAGGAAGAGGATAGGCATCGGTCTGGGAGACGTTGTTGGTCTTCTTATAGTCCACACAAAATCTAAAACCACCAGTCTTTTTGGGGATGAGGACAACAGGAGCAGCCCAGGGAGAGGAGGAACGTTCAATTATATCTAGTGTCAACATATCATTAATGAGTCCCTTTTAGATGATGAGCTTTTGCTGGGGACAGAAGGTGGTGGGGCTTCTGCTTGATAGGCATTTCCTGTGTAAGGAATATTTTGTGCTTCAGGAGCCCGGGGCATCTGGACATACATTTATTCTATTTATAAAGTTATTCTGCAGCTGTTCGAACAGCCTTAACTCCTCTGGTTGTTCCAGCTGAGCTCTTCTCACTGACTGTAAAGGAGATCATCAGCAGGATTACCAGGGGCTCGCTGTACCGGAGTAATGGCAGAGAAGACTGCCACACTTAGACCCCAATCATGTAGCTTCTGCTTGGAAAAAATGCTTCTCGCTCTGATTGTGTGGAAAAAGTAGCAATTGTGTGCGATGTCAATCTGGACACCACTGAAGTACATGAAATCAAGTACCAGCACGACAGGAAAACCAAGGGTCTTGGAAAGCAGAATAACAAACAGAATCATATAGGAGCGGTTACACAGGTGGAACTCTACCTCACGCCACCCGAGTGGTCATTTAGCCTCACCGTCAGCCAGATACAATGGACCTTCTGTCCAAGGCTAAATGTTGTCCTGGGGACCTTTCACCTCCTTCCATAGCTTCTCATTGAGCAGCGTGTAGGATGACCCGGTGTCCAGAATGGCTCTTCCTGTCCAAGGGCCTATGGACAGGGGTAACCCCAGCTGGTATTGGCTGAAAGGAAGTCGATGTCGATGGGTCGTAGGCAGGGACTCTTGGGTTCAAAGCACTCAGAGTAGGATGGCCATTCTTGTGATGGGAGTTGGGTGTGTTGACCTGTTGCGACTTGTTGTACGGCTTGTTGGTTTCTGGAGTGGTTTGCGTGATACTGATTTGGAATGTCCCTTTTGCTACATCTCCAACAGAACACCCGAGGGGTTTTGGCTGGAGACCCTGGCTGTGGTTGATGGTCTGTCTTGGGTGACTGTTTGGGTGTCTGTTTCTCTCTCTGTTAATATTGCTGTTGGCATTCTCCGTCCTTCTCAAACTGCTGTCCAAGTACAACCAGTCCATCTACAGTGGGGACTCTTTCTCTGAGATGACTGGCTAGTAGAGGGTTGATGTTCTTCAAGATCAACTTAATGACCTCTTCCTCCTCAATGCCAGGTTTCCACTGTCTGCACAGGGAGTGGTAACCGTACGCAAAGTCACGGATACTCTCTCTCTCTCCTTGCTCTCGATTCCTGACTCTGTCTGCCAGCTCATCGGTGTAGTCCTCAGACAGAAAGGCAGAGGAAAACTTTGACTAAGTCAGCCCAGGAGGCAGTGGTGAGACGTGCCACATCCCCCAAGCCTGATGGAGGCCATGTCAACAGACACATCATCTAACATTTTACCACATTTAGTGAGCTCTGTCTGTAGGAGGTCTACAGTGTTCACCAGCGAAGAGAATACTGAGTCAACGTCCTTGGAGACCTCGGTGTGGTGATGTTGCAGGTGCCACCGGTGATGCTGGCTGATGCTGGCTATTTATTGGGAAATTAAAGGGGAAGCGCAGCCTCGGGAGGAGACGCACTGAGGCGATTCAGACATAATTCAGGGCCGTCACAGTCTGTGTGCGTGCGTGCGTGCGTGAGCGTGAGTATACACATTAATGGAATCACTGCTCTCTCCGTAGATTTCTCCATCATCTTTATGAACATCTATTCTCCATTACAGGGTTCCCCAAACTCGGTACTGTTGAACAGTACTGACCAATAACTTGACCACCAGACATTACAGGCATTACTCTGCCAGCCAAGGCATTATGGGGTCGGGGAGCATTCATTGTATGAATCCAAAATGGCACCCAATTCTCTATACAGTGCATTACTTTTGACCAGAGCCATATAGATTTCCCTATGGGCCTTGGACAAAAGTAGTGAACTACATAGGTATTCGGGTGCTATTTGGGCCGTAGCCATTGTCTCCATTATGGCGGTGTGTGAGCATTGAAATGCTGCCTGCATAAGTGTGATTATGAAAACCAGGTGTTTAATGTATCATTAGCTGAACTAAAACCCCTCCATCATTTCTTCCACACACACAGATACAGGCCATTTTCTAGCTGAACCCATTTCATTTTAGTGCCCCATTTTGTATGGACTCTTAAGCAATTGATTTAGGCCTGTATTCACAACCACAACGTTGCACATAACTTTTTTTTACTTTGCTTGTTCGAGACTTCTTGTTTTGAATGCCAGAACATGAATCAAGTAATGATTATTAATGTACGTGTTCTTTCAGTAGGATTTGAGAAACAGGGCTCATTGGCTATGAGCGGTGCTGCTGTGATGTATTGCTTATTAAGATGCAGACCATTCCTTGGGTTTATTTGGTGATTCAGTGCTTTTATATCTTGGCACAAGGCACCATATTAAAAACACAACAGCTAGCAAACAGGGAGCCTGTAATCCTACTGGGGATTTACTGTGTAATGACCCCTCTTTTTAGCTTTCTTTCTTACTCTCTCTGTCTCACTTTTTTCCATCCCTTTCTTTCTCTCTTTCCATATCCCCCCCCCCCCCCCCCCCTCTCCATCCCTCTCTCCACTCCAGGAAGTCGCCACCATGCAGTTCTGTGCCCACAAGTTGGACAAGAAGGACTTCTTTGGCAAGTCAGACCCATTTATGGTCTTTTACCGGAGTAATGAAGATGGGACGTGAGTTCTTATTTTTTTCTCTCTCTCTATTTTTCTGCTTGTTTTCTGGTTCTAATATCTTCATTTTATCAAACAGATACAGTACATGAGTGCTAAGCTGTCAGATCAAAGGATGGAGAGAAGAGAGAGAGAGAGAGAGAGA